TTGGGAAAATCATTCCAGACCCATCATGAGCTCTGCCCTAGACCATGTGTCTCATGTGACTCCATATCTAATTGGGATCTTGTTAAAATGCATGTGGAAATGCATCCAACTAAAAAGCTGCACAGCAAAGGAAACAATCTACAAAATGAAAAGGCAACCTCTGGAATGGGAGAAAATATTTGAAACCATATATCTGATAAGAGATTAATATCTAAAATATACAAGGAACTCAAACAGCTCAATAGCGACAAAGCAACTTGATTAAAAATGGACTAGAGACTTGCATAGATATTTCTCAGAAGAAGACATACAGTAGCCAACAGGTACATGAAAAGGTGCTCAATGTCACTAATCACCAGAGAAATACAAATCAAAGCCACGATGAGATATCACTTCACACCTGTTAGAATGGCTATTACTAAAAAGACAAAAGGTAACAAGTGTTGGTGAGGGTGTGGTGAAAAGAGAACCTTTCTACGCCATTGGTGGGAATGTAAACTGAGGTAGCCACTTTGAAAAACAGTAAGGAGATTTCTAAAATAGTTAAAAATTGAATTACCATATAATCCAGCATTCCCACTTCTGGGTGTTTATCCAATCAAAATGGAATCAGAGTCTTGAAGAGGTATCTGCACTCCCATGTTAATCGCAACATTATTCACAATAGCCAAGATATGGAAGCAATCTAAGTGTCCTTCAGTGGATAAATGGATAAAGAAAATGTGGTCCGTATGCACAATGGAATGTTGTTCAGCCTTAAAAGGGAAGGAAATCCTGCCATTTGTGACAGCATGGATGAGCCCGAAGGACATTGTTCTAAGTAAAATAAGCCAGATACAGAAATACACATACTACATGATCTCACTTAAATTTGGAATCTCAAAAACTTAAACTCATAAAAGCAGAGTAGAATGGTAGTTTCTGGGGGTTGGGGAAATGGAGAGATGTTGGTCAAAGGATACAAAGGTTCAGTTATAAGGGATGAATAGCTTCTAGAGATCTAATGTACAGCATGGAAACTATCCTATATAATAAAAGTGTAGTATGCAAATTGTCCCCTCCACCGGAGTTCTTCCGGGAGTTTGACCAGGGGGTGGGCTGGCCGGGGGAAGGGAGGGAGTACCCGGCCAGCACCCAGCAGCTGCTAAGGACCCTACCAGTGCACAAATTTCGTGCACTGGGCCTCTGGTACTTAATAAAAACGTATTTTATACTTGAAATTTGGTAAGAGAGTGATCATGTTTTTAGCACACCAAAAAAGTCATAGCTTTGTGAGGTATACATACATACATCAAAACATCACATTGTATTCCTTAAATATACAGTGGGGCCTTGACTTACGAGTGTCCCGACTAACGAGTTTTTCGAGATACGAGCCATCTCTCGGCCGATTTTTTGCTTTGAGTTGCGAGCTAAAATTCCGGTTATGGGCCAGCTTCAGATACCCCACTGCTAGTTGGCTCAGTGAACATCACAGTGAACGCCACAACATCAGCCCAGCATCACGTGTCTCACTCGTTCACTTTTTGATTTGACATATGAGTAATTTGAGTTATGAGCTCCGTCACGGAACGAATTAAACTCGTAAGTCAAGGCCCCACTGTATACAGTTTTTATTGGCCAAGTATACTTTAATACAGCTGATGAACAAAACTAAAATGCAGATTCTAATTCAGAAGGTCTGATGCAGAAGTCTGGGGTAGATGCCTGAGATTCTTAACTGCTAATGCACTTTTAGATGTCGCTGATCTCTGAACGGCAACTTGCAAGGAGTACTGTCTCCTAAAAATATCCTCACACAAGAATTGTAGGGGATTGTGCTGATAAAGTATAGTCAAGTCAGAGAGGTGTCTGGGACATGCATTTGAGTCCCGGTGCTTACTTGCTTGGAATATGAAAAGCCACGTTGCCTCGTCAGTCCAAGATTGTGGTCTTTGGTGTATGGCTGATCTCTGTAACCATAATCAAAGTTGATGAGTCCTTTTAGCAGTTGAGACACCTGGGTCCAAGTGTATTATGTTATGTAAAATTCTGCTAGAGTTAACAGGGCCTTTCCCCCCAGAGTTCTGGTAGAGGACATGCCAGGTTCTTGACACGCGGTGATATTTTTGTAAATAATATTCTATATCGCCCTAACCGGTTTGGCTCAGTGGATAGAGCATTGGCCTGCAGACTGAAGGGTCCCAGGTTCGATTCCAGTCAAGGGCATGTGCCTTGGTTGCGAGCACATCCCCAGGAGGGAGTGTGCAGGAGGCAGCTGATCGATGTTTCTCTCTCATTGATGTTTCTAGCTCTCTATCCCTCTCTCTTCCTCTCTGTAAAAAATCAATAAAAATATATATATAAAAAAAATAATATTCTATATCAATTGTGAAAGGAGAAAGCTCTCCGAGATTTTGCTCCCAGGCATTCGTCACAATAGAAGGTGCCCTGGCTGTTGTTCTCCTGGGCGCTGTTTGACTCAGTTTCCTGGTGAAAATAGCTGTGACCTCTCCTGACAGGGGCAAGTGCTCTCCTGTCAGGTGACTGGAAAGAGTCTGTTGTCTTCTGTTCTGAATGCTCCCTCCTGGGAGTGCTGTTTACTCTGTTCTCTTTGTTAGTATTTTTGAAAGTAATAACAATAATTTAGAAAAACACCTGTTCAGAAACGCCATATTTTAAAATATCAGATTTACTGACTTTTAAAGTATGTAAACAAACTGAACACGAGCCGCCTCACTAATCTCATCTGTGGAAAGTGTCAATTAGGAGGCTTTGGAAGAGGTGCGCTCCTTGCCAATCGAAGTGGCAGTGTTGTTGATGACATTGGCTTTCGCAATTGCAATGGTCCCTTCTCGGGAGTGCAGTTAGGGTGACTCCTTCCAGTCAGCTATTCCCAGCTGTTCTTTCTAAGGCTTCGCTTTTAGTCATCCAGGCCTGTCAGTTTGGCCTCTGTGGTGTTTCTGGGATCTGTTTTTAACTATCCATTCCCACTGCAACTACCTTCTCATCCTCTCTCACCTGAGCCATGGTAAGAATGTGTCAAAGGTTTTCCATAGCTCCAGATCACCCCAACTCTAGTCCCTTCCATCGCTTGCTGCTGGAGGCTTTCCACAACCCAGGTCTGATCATTCCATTTCCTTCCTCAAGACTCGTGCTGACTTTACAGGGCCTGCAGTGTAAATTGAGTCTTTTAGCAGCTTTTGCCTTCTACCAGCCAACAAGAGAGTGTCATTCTTCTTTTTTTTTTCAACCTTTTAAAAAAAATGTATTATGTATTGGTTTCGTGTACCGCTTAGTGGTTAGACAATCATATACTTTATATCATGTTCCCTTTGATCGTTCCAGTACCCCAACTGGTACCATACATAGTTATTATAATACTAGAGGCCCTGTGCCCGGATTCATGCACCAGTGGGGTCTCTCGGCCTGGCCTGCAGATCGGGCTGAAACCAGCTCTCCAACATCCCCCAAGGGGTCCCAGATTGTGAGAGGGTGCAGGCCAGGGACCCCACCGGTGCATGATCAGGGCCAGG